GTTACTTCAAATAAATAAAATGTAATAGGAAATAACTCCTGTGTGCATCTATGTGCTCTAAGCACTATGCTCAGAGCTGAGTACTGCAGCAGAGGACTGCTGTGCATCCCACCCTCCCAAGATGTCACATTCCCTGAAAGGTGCTCAGATGCTGACGGAAGGTACAGTTGCTCATCACCCTTTATTATCAGAAACATATACAGCAAAAAAACAAATCCAATGTGTCCCTTCTCTCATACCTTCTAAAGCTTCAAAAATGTCATTATTTATGATGTCAACAACAATCCAATATTCTGCAAGCTTCAGTACATTATCATTTTCCACCCCAAAAGCATGTTACGTTAAACCTTCACCTCAATTACGTATGAAAAATAAGGATAAGAAAGGTGCGTTAAAGCTTATTAACTCAGTCTTCAGTGCTATAGCATGCATCTCTGATTCATCAGTAGACAACAAAAAAAAAAAATAGAATTCCCACTCTGCACTGGGTGCAGCACTGGATCCAGCTCACGCACACACACACAAAAGTTTTCATCCATTTACACTATTTTCTGTTTGCTTCTGCTGTTAAGAGACTACAGTGTACAAGTTCCCTATATCAGAAATTCATAATAGTTGATGAAATATATTTTATATCTTAAAGACTTCAATCCAAACAACTGCAGTATGAACCCTTGGGATGGGAAAGAGGATTAGAACAACTGGACAGAACCTCATCTCTTTCTGTGTAAGTTGCACATTCAGGTAAGACCTTCTGCATGGGGCCCTACCAGCTGAAAGTTTGTTTGTTTCTTACAGGCATAAGGAATTTAATACTGTTAAATTAAATAATTGGCTTTGCTTTTCTTCCTCCCCTTGTTTTCTGGGTATGTTATATATTTGGACATAAAACTTAATTGATATGTGACATTGGGATCCAGCACAATAAAGGCTTACATTTCACTGATGAGGTTCTTGGGCTTTGTGGTATCAGCAATTTGAGACAAACTACAATGGATATGTTTCACAACATATTAATCATCCACAGATGACCTAACAGCATTAATCCTGAAGTATATTATTCCTTTTAACAAATGAAACAGACTTTACTATTACTGAAGCCAACTGCAAAACCTACAGACTTCTGCTGTCTACTCTTTTTAAGCATCTGAAGCAACATTTCTGAGAAAGAACTCATCTAAGCCAAGATCTGAATCTAGCCAATGCTTCATATTCTGCAAGAAAGATGAGTTTTCTGTCTGGAAGTCTGCATTGGATGAGATATACTTTCAAGCCCTGCATAAAAGCTGAGCTCCTACAGACCAACTCCTTGCTAAGCCTCTTAACTCCTCAGTTTATCCACCCGCCTGCTTCAAAGCATTTTCCAGAAGTGAAGCTATACAAGGTATCTTCAGCCAGCATGTCAATCAGCACCATCCCATTGATTGCAGATGGATAAAACCCCTCTGCACCAGCTAGGAAGTTTACACATCACATCTCTCTGGTCACTGGATTTAGAGTACTGGTATGTACCACCATGTCCATGTACTACCAAGAAAATACAGAAGAAACTTCACCACAGTGTTAAGACTATTAAGTGGCCATGTTGATTTTAATGAAAGTAAAGAAATAAAATAGACAGCAAGATTAAAAACCAAAGGGAGAGGGAACTGAACATACAGTAGACAGAGAACTGCTGAAAACAGAACCAACCAGAAAGCTTTCAAACAAAAGGGGACTGGAAAAGAAAAAAGAAGTAATCCGGGTCACACCAGAGTTAAAAATAAACACAAACAAATACAACCTCAACCTCCAAAGTGCTCATGGAAAACGGGAACAACTCCAAGCAAAGATCTTATCATAGGAGGTTACGTTTAACTTTCATCCTCCTTAAAGCTAGCACGCTTAATCCACAGACACAGGGCTTGTAATAAGCCTAGTTTGTTATAAACACCGTAAAAGCTTTACCACCTACTTAGTGGTAGACCAGAGCAATGTGGAGAAGCTCACCCAAGTCCTCACACTGGTTCACAGAAGAACCACCTGCTGGAGACCACCACTGCGCTTATACCCTTAAAGATTTATGCCAAGATGAAATCTGACTTCTACCATGGCATACTTAAAACCAGCATTTTCACTAGAAAAGAAGAAGGCTGCTGAGCACAAGGAGGCGAAAAGTAAAATAGCATCAATCAAGTGACTCTCCAGCTAGAAAGACCAAGTAGTCATTGTGTAATTTCATTGTCAAGGACTGCTTTGGCAGAAGTCTCTCAAGACTTTTAGCCTTGTTACTATCTTTCCTAACACTGGGATATTTCAGAGAAGTATATACTTTTAACAAAATTGGGATATAATGTAATAAAATTTACCTGAGCAGGAATAAAAGAGCAGGTTTTAAAAATCTTGGGAAGATAAGAAGTGATAAAACTCAGAAACATCACATGGCAAAATTTTATATCTTTTGGCTCGCAGGTCTTCCCTCTGTGTGCATTTATTCAGATATGCTGATTCTGCAGACAAAAAATCAATTTTCACTGCTTTTTACTTCTACGCACACTATAGTGCCTAAAGAGCTATGGCAATCTAAACTGGATTAATTTTTGACTAATGCACCATGGATAAAATTACTAAGCTAATTCTACCTATAAGCCATTTCAGAAATCACACATTGGTACATTATAAATGTTTTTTGACTATGCATTTAGTAATTCTCAAGTATTTCAGTATTACCATTGCCTCAGTGCCAAACAGAAGAGGTACAACTAGATTTCAAAATCCCTCTAAAATGCCCCTGCAGGGCATATGGCTAAAAGGGGAATACACTGTTCAACTTACAAGTACAAAGTTTAAAAATTTAGTACCAGAGAAGTACATCATCCTTATCGAGTCACTTTCAGAATTAGGAAAAAAACATGTGTATGTATTTATACACATATACTTATTGAGTGAAAGTCAGGTTAAACAAGTGTGTTGTACTTTTAAAAGAGAAATATTAGATTTGCACAAAATACTCTCATCTGGTTTCAAAACTGAGGAAGAAATAAATATCATGAAACCAACTTCTACAAAGTTAGGGTAAGACACGTGACATTTGCTTATTACGTATTACTTGTAAAAGTATAGTTGATAAAAATAAAATCTTTAAAATACGGGAGTTAATGAAGTGTGAATTATTAATTGAACCTTTTTTTAGCATAGAATTGCTGCAGCAGAAACAGGAGTCCACTCCCTCCTAGAATATACCGTGTCCATAATGAGTTCTACACAAAGCATATCACTTCAGAGAAACTTTTTACAGAGCCCAAGAACCAATCACCATTACTAAAACATATGGACCAAAGCAACTTGTTGTCAACATAATTCACTGTGACATGTCACTCACTGTGACTTCTGCACTGACAGAAATTGAACTGGTAATGATAGAGATTTGAAGGAATAAATCTACCTTAATTGCCCAGTAAATTTAAATAATACCCTTGTAAGGGAAAAATAGGTCATTCCCTCCTCTGTTTTTTTTCTACTTTCACATTATGGACTTGACTCTGTTGCCAATGCCTACATGTGCCTGTCCATCTGAGAGGCCCTTGGGAAGGCACAATATTATCAAAGGGATGATAGATAAGACTCAGCACCTATGGAAGGTCTGTATTGATCCTGAGTGGAAACCACAGTAACCAAGGCCATCTCAAAGGGCACCAGATGTTTATGTGAGGCATCTAAATGGAGCTAAAAAAAAAAGCTTCTAAATGGAGCTTCTATGCCAGACTCAGCTCCAGACTGAGATGCCCTACACCACACAGATGTCCCTTCAGGCCTCTCCCCTGGACCAGATGGGAGTTGAGCACCAAGCACCAATTGCTGTCAGCGGACTCAGGACAGCTACTGACTTCACTCCAAGGTCAACATGGACAAAACCCCCCCTGACTTCTAAGCATGGACACCCAGCTCACACTACAGATGCCTGAACTCAGGTGTCTAAATTATGAGCCCAATTCCATGCTAAAGCTAGGTGGGATAATTATGAACATAGGAAGCACAGTTTGTCCCACCTAAACTTAAGAAATGAGCTTGCCTAAATACTGCTAGGACAATAATCATTGTAGGATCTTTTACAGCCAACGTGAAGAAACAGATGTCTTCAGAGACTGATTCTGTTAGATGTCTGATTTTGGATAAGACTAATCCATAGCAGTCCATATCCTCCAAAAGATACTGGAACATGATCAATCTCTCTAAATGACAGCTGTAGCTAGCTTATACAACCATATGCTCATATTATCCATCATTAGCTTTACTTCCTTCGTTGCTCATTTACTTCTTCATTCCTAGTGAGTTATAAACCTTAATATCCTGACTTACTAACTTTCTTCAATAACACTTATGACACTCTTAATGGGATCCTAGATGGTAAAATTTAAAAATAATGCTGGTTGATATTTCTTTAGAACAAAATTCAGCACACCCAGATATAAGTCTACAAGTTCACTGGTACTCGTAGATCCCAGTACTTGAGACTACTGAGAGCCCAACAAAGCTAGCAGTCAAGTTATAGCTCTTCTTGGTCTGTCCTGTACTTAGCAAAGTCCTGATACTACATTATATGCGGACAAAAATATGCCTTTAGCAGTTTACAGCACCATGGTAACTTTAACTTTACAAAAAAACCAACAATGGCACTGGTCTTGAAAGTCTCAACAGAGACAGCATCAAAGTTTTCTTGCCAAGAGGTCCACTATTTTAAAGGATGAATGAAAACTGCCAAGTTTAAAAGACATGAGTTATGCAGGGGAAGAAATGGATAACAAAGGAGAAGAACACCTTAAAAAACAAATTATCAGAAAAAATTTGCAACCGAATTTTTGGCATTTGTGTAGTGGAGGAAGACTTGCATTACATAGGAAAAAACTGCATGTCTGCCATTTGTAAAGCTTGCTAAATTATGAAAAACATCAAACATTAATGAAACACCAGACCAAAAATACCATTTCTTGCTAGCACAGAAATTCCAAAAATAAGATTACCTTGTTCCAGTCTAAAGCACAGGGAACGTTTTGCAGCTTCTATCTCAGGACTTGGATGATCCAGAACACGCCTGCACCACTGCAGAGGACTCAGCGATTTCTCTTGAGGAGTCAGAGTCTTGGAAGGCAAGACGTACAACCTTAACCAAAATACACACACTTATCAGCAAGATATGCCATACTTACAACTTTACTTCCATATTCTCAATTTCCTGACCACTAATAATGTATAACAGTGCAATGCCTTGCAATATGGTATCTAATAACAGAAAATATTAGTGAGTTTGAATTAGTTTTATTCTTCCCTCCTCAGAAAGGTAGGTGGCAAAAGATGAACTCTACAGTCTGCCACATCAAATCAAAGTTCAAGACGACTTCTCATAAAAATTTTACATCTCATCATTACCACAGTCTGAATTTCAGCCCTGCGCAAAGTTCAAATGCTTTAGGAGCTGTACACACACCATAAATGCATATATCTATCTGTACTGGAAATCAGATAATTTCAGCATTTGATTTTACCTTTAAATCACAATTTTACTGTTCTCTATTTCATTCTTTTACCTCTAACAATTAAATCAACTTGTCAAGAGTGCTGATTATAATTTTTGACACTTAGTATCCTCTCCCAGGTGAACCAGTGTTGTACAAGTCAGATTTCTCAAGATTACAAAACCTTTACTGAGAAACAATGAAAATCCAATTTCAGTATTAAATTCCAGCAGGGAAAAAAATTGTTTTAAGAAAGGCAAGAAAAGCTAGTGTGTATATGTGTGTGTGTGTGTGTGTGTGTGCACTCTCAGACAAGAGTAGGGCACTAATCAGACGGTCAAGCACATCAGGAAGCCAGGTATCAAAGGAGACTTCAGGGGCAAATTCTTGAAGCTGGGACCCGCATGGCTGCTGTTGCCCTTGCAGATTAGCAGCGACAAGCAGATGCCAGTTCACCTGGAAGAGCACAGACCTCCTGGGAAGGGAACTATTCTTGGCTGCCAGAGACAGCTCATGGTTCCTTGGCCTGACCAATTCTGATTGATGGGGCCACAGACGGGTCAGACAGGCAGGTTCTCAGGCATCAGCAAAACACTCCACGGGCTGCAAAGGAGCCTGACCTGCACAAAGGGGGTGCAGAAGGCAAAACCAAAGATTGAGCTTCTTAGGGGACCACCAGCAGGTAGCAGCCTTTCACCCTCAGGGTTTTTGGGTCAGCAGCTACCCAGGTCCCCAGAGAGCAACTGCTATCCCATGTCTGCCTGATGTTTGTTTGGTTTTGGGTTTTTTTTTTTCTTTTGTTGTATTTTTTTTTCAGGGGGTGGGTTGTTTTTTTTTCTGCGAAGTCGATCAGCACTCTGCCTAGCTCACAAGGAATAAACATCCTCACTGCAATTGCTATCTCTTGACAATCCCAGCAGAGATCAACTATTGAATTTCTCTGAGCGGAGAACGTATTTTCCCCGACTTCCTGCAGTGCCTCACCACACACTTAAAAAAATGACACTGAGAAAAACAAAGATATTAAAAATAAATGTTCCAGCTTTCATGTTAACCTGCAGAAGCATTTCAAAAGCTAAATATCGGACTGATGAATTTTCAGTAATCAGGCATCTGTGCAAGAAGCTGAACAGCAAATCAGGTCTGACTTGCCTGCAATGATGCTAATTTGTAATTTTTTTATAACTGCAGTTAAGATAAACCAAAATCCAAAGGTATAAAAGGCCTAAAATTACTAATCAACAACTAGGATATACATTGGTCTTTGGCTTTCTAGACAGCAGTTTGCTTTAAAGACTAACATAAGAAAAAGCCCCAAGCACCTGGCATCACAGTTGACCTTTCACAGACAATGGAGATCTAGCCTTGAACTAAAAACATTCAACAGCTAAAACAACTCACTCTTGGTGGAAAAAAATAGACAACAAATATCTGTTACCAAATTATTCCTATGAATACATAAATGTGTGACATTCAGGTAAGCTCCTACCCTCCCCCAAGCATTTAGAAATGCTCCCAGGGGGCAAATCAAGTGGAATATTTTACCAAGACACATAATTACTTGCTACCACCCTGAAATGTAACGTTTTGTTTAACAGAATAGGATCAAACAAATTCGGTATTCCTTAATATGAAGGAAAGTTACAGGTTAGGACTGCTGTAAAATGTGATTCAAGTCTGAATCAACAACCCCCGACCTGCCCTGCAGAGTCTAACAGGACACATAATGAAAAAACCCTGACACAAAAATCCATACAAATTTGCTTATGATTCTCAAAAGCAGCTTCCCAAAATTGCAGCATGGTAGTTATTTGTATCACGAAATACGCCCAACCAGCACTCGAGAAATACTTAAGACATTTAGATTAAATTTTAAATCCTTTCTCTTCTACAAAAAATGAGGGTGTTTACACGCATCTCACTTATTTTCAGCCGACATAAATCTCAGCTTAATTGAAAAACTAACCCCACCAAAAAACACGTTGAAGCTCTGACAGTTATTTTAATATAGCCTATATTTTACTACTGACACTTTTAAAACAGTTGAGCATCAATCGTGTTTAACATGGTTAGGCAGCTAATGATTTCCATAGTATTCCCGCAGTGTCCCTACGATATCCGCTCACGTTGCCAAGTTTTGAGGCACCAGGCTCACTTACTTATTCATATCTCTAGTCTATAATCTCCCCATCTATCTGTTTTTAAGTGGGCGAAATCATTCCTCTAGGTCAATCTTATTTTCTGCCTTATTCGGTCGCTGTTCATTCAATTTACCAGCACCCAGCAGTGCCTTTTGGAGCTACGCGGGCACTTAAGATACACAACCAAGCATTCGGATCAACGCCTAAAAGACAAAAGCCCTCCCAAATCCCTGAAGGGGGGAAGACAATTGGGCGAAGATTTTTAGGATGGGGAGGCAGCGCTGCTCAGATAAAAGGCTCTGCCGGAACAATTCCGCTATTTTTAATTCCTTATGTAAACAGGAGGCTGAAACTAGGCTGAGAGCTGAAATTAAAGCCTGACGATCCTCCGCTCGGGGGGGAAAACGAGCACCCACCTCCCGCCAAGGGCGCGAACCCCCGGGCGAGACGCAGGAGCGAAGCGCCCACCTCAGCACCAACCCGGACACCCCCCGCCCCGGGGACACCGTTTCAGATTTACAATAAATAACAACAAAATAAAAATAAGAGGAAGGTTTAAGTGGAAGCAGCAGGAGAGCGAGCGGGTCTGGGGACTAACGCCAACCCGAGCCCGGGGAAGGGGCTCGGCAGAGCCGGGCGGGCGCTGCCGGCCGGGATGGCGGCTCCGGGGGCGC